GGCGCGCCCTGTCCGCGCCGGCCGGCTGGCCCGCCCGCCTCTGAGCTCATGCCCACTTGGAATGCCGGCCCCTGCTTTCTGGGTGGCTCCCGTGTAACAGGTATGATGTCAAGTGTGATGCTGCTGCTACAGTGACTAAGCCAGCCTCCTTTGGCGCAGACGCGCTAATCCCATCTGTGCCGCTAGCGCGGGGTTTCAGAGTAGGGCATCTCATAATCAGGTCACATTCCGCCGAGGCGCCTCCATCCATCTCTCCCGAAGTCGGGAGATCCGAGAGGGAAGGAGACAAATCCTTGCTTTGCAAGAGGGGGAGAGGAAAAAAGACCAGGCTCGGAGATGAGAGCCCCGGGCTGCTGTCTGGTGCCACTGCTGCTGTTGGCTCTCGCCTTGGCGGAAGGGGACAGCAAAGGGGGTAAAGACGGAGACCATCCAGGCAATTTTATGGAGGACGAGCAATGGCTGTCTTCCATTTCTCAGTACAGCGGCAAGATCAAACACTGGAACCGCTTCCGAGACGTGAGTCTGCAGCCTAAACCCGGTAGCATGAAGTCCACCCTGGCGGAGGGCAGGCAGGCTGTTGAAAACCAAAAATGAGTGCAGCGGGGAAAACCTGTGCGAAAGAGACGCTGACGAGAGCGTTGCTATCTCTACTCTAAATGGATCCCTAAAATACACGGGGCGCCCTTGGTGGTCGTTGCTATAGGGAGGAGAGATTTAAATACGACTGGGCAGGCTTCCAGTACCAGGGAGCTGAGTACGAACTAAACGCTATTTATGGGAAAAATTAAATGATTCTATTTGCAAGGCTGTTTAATTGTGCGCTAACTAGAGACTACCAGGAATTCATTCGGGTGATGGAAGCCAGAACAGTGTGTGCCTCGGCTAGGCAGCAGTACCCGATCGCATTAGATTGCACGGGGGCAGGGCGAGCTGGGCTGAAGGTGGTAACTCCCTTTGCAAACGGTGGCCTTTAATTAGAGGAAAGGGGAGGCTCGGAGCAGCCTTGCAGCTGGGGCAGCTCGCTGCGTCGTTCGGTGGAAAACAAAGCCGTTCCAAAGTGCTCTTAGGAGTTTGCAACGGTGCGTCTGGCAAGGTTATATGTGGCTGCTGGGCCGTTGTTAATGAACACCTCGGTGCGTAGACCTGTGCGTTGAGATGAACTGAGCAAGCGTGAATGTGTGAGGTTGAAAATACTGCAGACAAATGGTGGCGTTTTTATTGACATGTGTTCCCCTGCTCAGTTACTGCCTGCACATAATTACTCCCGAGCTGTCTAATGCTAGCGACTCCACATTCTGCTGCTTCTTTCTCATTATATTATTAGATCCACAATAACGGTTTCCGGATGGCGGGATCAGACAGCAAAATGACAGACAAAATCATTAAGAAAGCGAGAGAAAAGTAGGAGGGAGCCAAATGGAAAAAATCATGCGTGCAAAAAAAGCAGCAAAATCCAGGTGTCAAAACAAAGCCCAACATGGAAATCGCTTTTTCTCTCCTGCGGTTTTTTTTTTTAAAATAAAAGGTTTATACAGTGTGCTAAGTGATAGATTGGGGTAGGAGAGGAAATAATAGCTCGGTCTGTCCTGCGCCCATTTTTCATTCTTATGTGCAGATTTCTCTCTCTGTGCAGGGTGGAGGCTGCAGGGAACTTAAAACCCGATGATAGCAACCAAAATGTGTTATAAGGAAGTGTCCAGAGGAGTCTGCATACGAGCAGAGTTATCGTGGAAGGAAAATGTATTAGACTTCGATAACTTGCAATTTTAGGGATTTGTTTAACTATACATCTGATGCTTTCTATATTCTGCTCTGGGTGATGTGTGGACCCTGGTTAAACTATTTGCTGCTCCTAAGTATATTTGTCAGCACAAAGTAGGGTGTGTTTGTTTCTTTATTTTTTCTTCTACATTTATTTTTTTTCTGTTTTACTTTTTGTTAATGTTGATTAAGATAAATTAAGAAGAAAGGATCATAGCTTCTTCTCTGGGATCTGCTGGATTGCAGTGTAAATATGAATTGTTCTATAAGCCCCTTCTGCAATCACAAAAGAGGAAGCCCTCTCCCTATATACCTTTGCAAGTGCTTAGTAATTAGAAGGCAGAATCAGAGGTTTCCTTTCATTTGTGTTTATGCACTCCATTTCCGAGCACCTGTAGATCACTGGGGAAAATGCATGAGTATTTTTCAACAGAGACTTTACATTTTTTCCCCTTGTTTAAAAAAGCTCAGAGGTTGTAAGGATGACAGATCTACAGCTATGGGGACTGGGAGCAGCTGTAGTTTCACTTAGAGGCTATTACATTAGAAGGAAAAGCAACTGGATTTAGTAATAAAACTTGAAAAAGGATTATGTTTTTGCTCTCTTGACACCATTTCCCCCGCTTTCTGAAACATTTAGTATAATAATAGGCACTAACCTTGCTTATATGCTGAATGTATTAATTGCCATCTTCTAGCAGTAGAAGTCAACAACCAGATGCAGTCCCCCTTTCATTGATGGTATTCTCAGGGAGGTTGTGGGTGGACTTGAAGACTGAATACATCTTTTCCAACTCTAATTTCTATGACCTTGTGGACAGAAACTGAGAAGAAAGGGGCTAAACCCATGGCTAATGCTAATAGAGGTTTGGTAATGGCCTGATCCAGATATAAATAGCCACAAATTGTATATTAAAATTATTTTTAATGGAGGCAAGTGACTAAATATCTGAACAATTTTCCTGGTGGTTCTTCAACCCTTTTACTGCAACACGTACTGTTGAATGTAATGAATTGAATGGTCTCAGGTAATCTCTGCAGAAGAGCTGTCATAACTAGTTTTCAGAGCTTATCCCTGGCTCTGGAAGGAGAGAGACAGGTGATCCCATCGGCCATAGTACGGGTTTTAGTCAGGTTTGTGTGAGGATGCTAACATTGCTGTGACTACTTGAATCTTACTAACCTGTCCTACAAGTAATTCAATGTTTTCAGTTCAGGGCATTGCTAATATAGTAACTTTCACAATTACATCTAGTCAATAGTAATCAGCTGTATTTAGTCTATTTTAGACTTCAATTTTATTTTGCTACGGTCCAAGACAAGTTCGAGTTTCTACTACCTCTTAATGATTATACTCATGCATTAGTTATTGATTTCAGAATATCTTACTGCCCAAGGAATTCAGTTTGTAGTACTTTGTGTAAGAGTAAAATAAATCTGGTATAAGTCATTACTGAGATGAACATAGTGGATCTTGTTCTAAATGCCACTGGATGTTGTTCATGTTTAAAACCAATATATGATATAGGATACTTGGCCATTTCTGCTCAAGACTAGAGCAGAGAAGGTTGTTGCAAGTCAGGATTGGGGTACTTTGTCAGAACAATGTGAAAACCTGGGATTAGAATAGCAGGTGGTCTGGAAAATTAGGATTCTGGTGCTTTGGCAGAGTTATGTGGGTAACGCTCATGCACACATCTCACATGCTGTGTTTATTTAAAGGTATTGGTCCCTCACTTTCTAAACACCAAATGAGAACATTAATAAAATTCATGGGTAAATGAATTAACCAGTAAATGCTGTGTGCAGTTCTGTCTGCAGAAGAATAGTGCCCTGTATCTTACTGACAGTGTGTAGGTTATTGGGTCTCCCATTTCAGTGGCTTTATGTTGAAAGGCTAATATATTCTTGATGCGCTTAATGCTCAAGAAAGGAGTGACTAGCAGTCCTGATGAGATATTAAAACTGAACACACTGTGTGTATGTGAAGGTTTCCTTCACATGGTGCAGCCAATGCACCTCTGTTCTGGTCTGCAACACTTGCGTCCCTTCCAGTCTCAGATCTCTCCTGAAGGGAGAGGCTTCGATATCCTGCAATGCTTGACAGGGGAATGTGCATTTAGAACTAGAGTGATCACCAGTGTCATTTCACTTGTGACCTATATTCGAACCCAGGTCTTTAGGGGTGAAAGGTAGTGAAAGTTCCCTGATGGCTGAATTGGCTGTTAAATAACAGAGTGCAATTTTCTTGTAAGTCTATCACTTGTGTGGATGTTTGTGGAATAATTTGAGTTAATGGACCAGCATTTCCCTTCTTGATATCAAATCCCAGAGAGATTACAAATAAAAGCATTCAGGGTGAATTATCCTAGTACTTAGGGTCGGATGTTTATGTCTCACAAAGCTACAAGGATTTCACAACTCATTGCGGCAGTCAGGCTGTATTCAGGAGATATACAGGACAGATCAGAGGTGTGCAAGGGAAGCCTGTTTATTGCTGTGCTTGGATCTGCAAGCACTTTCATTTAAACATGAGCGCCTACATTAATTCAGACATTCTCCTTGCCAAAAAGAGGACTCTGCGGCAGTCCTTAATTGGTGATGAAAGAGTGCCAGGACAGTATTCATAACTGATGCGGCAGAGCCTAGTGGTGCTGAGGCTCAGCCTGACAAGCCCCAGCACAAAGTAAGGACTGCTGTGTTCCCATGAGATAATCCCAGAGCAGTGCATGGACCGTCCTTTTCAAGTTGCAGCCCTGTGTATGTGATTATGAATATGCATGCATCAGAGCTCTATGTGAGCTGCTGGGGGTTAACTTCCTGTTAAATAAACCAATTACTTTAATAGCTAAAAAGAGAGGATAAAAAGAAAGGGGTTTCCCTGTTAAATGCCTTCCCCATGGAGACCTAATAAATACAGTCCAATACAGGACTGATAATTGCCACTTGGAGTAACTTGTTAATGTGTTCACATCCCTACTTGCAGTTTGTGCATGTCTACATTTGTACTCACTGGCAAACATGGTAGTGCTGGAATGGATGCCTATGTGGACAGGGGTTTGTGTTTCTTTTCAAAGTTGCTTAGGCAGCCATTGAAATCCCATTCTGCTATGCCCATGGACTAAATTAAGCACTGAAGCAATTTTCAATAATACTGATAGCTAGCCTGGATTAATAAACAAGCCCTTGAGAGTTTATTTCTGCTGAGAAATAGTGTACCCGATGAGTCACAATTAGCTATTTAAATGGCAAAGAAATTCTAACTAAGTTAGCTAGTGTATTGAACTCTTGTTCTCTAGTGTAGGATGCAAACTAACATGGAGATGAGACACAGGATGAAAGGAAACAATTATTTGGCAGTGAAAAATCCTTCCTACTGTGTTCCCTGCACCACAGCTAGAACAAACTCAATTGTTCTTGCAGTTGTTTGGGAATTTGTTTTGCTCTATTTGTTATTGTGCAGTGTCTCTTCCTTTCTTTCTCTCTCTCCTTGGGGTGTCTGTGCTGATCCAGTCTGGTTCTCAGAGGCTATGCATCATCAGAAAGCCACACCTGCATAGAACTGCCAAATGCTGCAGTATTACTAATCATGACATGAGAATGAAGGCTATTGATTGAGATGAAAATAACCACTTTGTCAGACCAAGACAAATTCCATTCCTCTACCCAAGATCAGCATTCTCACTGCTTTCCCAGTGTTCATTTCTCTGCTTCTTTGATTTAGCCAGAGAAACCAAACCCTTCAACCAGGATAT